TTGTTGTTGGCATGCTGTCGTGCGCCGTGCATGAGCGTGTTCGGCCGTACGTGTGTGCGTCGCGTGCGGCATGCGTGCGACCTGCGTGTGTTGTGTGTATGCATGCTGATGTGCATTTCGTCTTGCCCTTGTGTTGCTTGCATGCATCGTGTCGCTTTGGGGAGTGTGTGTTGTGGCCTGCGTGCGTGCGCTGGTTAACATGTGCGTTCTGCGTTCCTCCTGCGCCCCAAGTCGTGGATGCGTTGCCTGTGGCAGGTGGTGGCGTGTATCGTGTGTACTGCTGCATTGTGCACCTGTTGGGCGGTTCTGATGACATGTAACATGTGCGCGTGTAGCATAAACTTATTTGTCATTCGTTTGCTACATGACATTACCCCCTCTCCGTGTAATATAGAAGCCACTTTCGTCTTTGGGACAGTGAGCGTGGCCGTGCTCAACTATAGAGGCGCTTACTTGTCGTCGTTGCGTTGACCATTAGAGCTCGTGGTTTAATATAGCGGCGCGTCATCTTCCTCAAGTGGTGACATTGAGCACTGCGTCGGTGTAACTATATGAGGCGCTTACTGTCGTCTCTGTTGACAGCCTTGAGCTCCGTTGAATATAGAGTCCGCTACTGTCCGTCCCGTTGGTTGTGGAACAGTTGAGCCGTGTGTGTGTAATATAGGGGCGGCTACTTTTCGTCGTTGCTTGACAGCTGAGCATGCGTTGTGCTAATATAGGCGGCGCTTACTTTCGTCTTGCTGACAGTGCACAGGCTGTCTAAATAGGCACGCTTACTTGCGTCTTGTGACAGTTGAGCGTACGTGTGAATATAGGGCGCTTACTTGTCGTCGTTGTTGACAGTGAAGCGGAGGCGTCAGCGGCTCAGCAACTCTCTACCGACCGCTACGAAGATGCACCCTCAACGACACTCACCGCACAGACACATACTCTGCCGGTTCACCCACTCATGCGCCGTGCGTAACACACCGTAACATGTACTGTACACGTCAGCTGGTGTTATAACATTCCATTGTAACATGATCAGCCCGGTTATAACACGCTACTTACGTGTCCCTCCGACCACCAGAAATATATATATATATATATATGTATATAATAGCTTATATTAATACAATATATTAATACATTTATTTATTTCGTTAATATATTTATTATATATACCATACCATACACACTGTCTCTCGCCTCACTCATTCCGCGCGTTCGCTTCCCTGATCCAGTAATCATCCTATTCGTCGAAGTCTCGCTGCTGGTGAGGTCAAGCGCCAGAGGCCGCGTCCTTGACCCGCCCGCACGAAGTAACGTCGACCGTCGAGTCTACCACTGCTTCTCTACCTGCCCAACACGCCAAAGTGCCATGATGCTTCGTGATCCATCTATACGCGGCCCAACTAGTGAAAACCAAGTGTACAAGCGAGTCTACAACAATCGAAATAATTAATAACTTACTAATACATATTGTATAATAATATGTTATATTACATATTTACATGATTAGTGACATGCCTGACCTAGCAACGAAACCAAGATAGACGACGATACGAGAAATTATCTACAACTCACCGTTTGGAGGAAGGTAGTCTCTAGACTCCGACGTCATCAGCGGCTCCATCTTTACCCCGGCTCTCCCCCTCCAATCTAGGCAGGGACGTCCGCCGCTCCGCGCCGCTCCCAGTCTAACACCGCAGCCCCGTACAGATCTGTAGTGTGACAGGAAACAGCAGCGTAGAAATTAACTTTGACAACAACGGACTCCTGCCCTCAAAAAAGACGAAAGTCCGCCCAGCAAAATGAGGGAGTCCGCCCAGCAAAATTAGAGTCGCAGCCAAAAAGAGGAACACGCCGCCAGCAAAATGACGACTCCGCAGCAAAAAGGAGCCGCAGCAAAATAGCCGTCCCAGCAAAAAATGGACTCCGCCCAGCAAAAGAGAATCCGCAGCAAAAGAGGCTATCCGGCAGCCCAAACATGAGTTACGCGCCGGCACAGTCCGACCAGCAAAAGAGGGATCCGCCACAAAATGAGGAGGGGTTTGGTGCTTCCGCAGCAAAATGAGGTCGTCGCAGGCAAAAAGAGCCGTCCGCCAGCCAAAAATGAGGATCCGCGAGCCAAAATTAGCGACGTTCTGCAGTTTGAAGTTTCAAAATTAAAAATATTAACAATAACACGTCTTATTTTGAAGCATTCATCGTTACACATCTGCCAATTTTCTTACATTTGCCCGAAAAATACGTAATCCCATGAGCCCGGCCTCTGGAATGAAACTATTAGTATAGTATGGCCCAACATTTTCAGAATCACACGGACTCCTGCCCATATTCATCAAGGAGTATTCTGACTCCGAATCCCCAGTTAATTCCCACCCGGACACGGTGTGTGTATGATTGGTCGGCGGGCCACGCACGTATGGATCAGCCGTGCAGTGGTCAAGCAAATCATGATGCATTGTGTCAGATCGTGTTTATTTGATTTATTTACCACGTATTCATTATCAAATATTCCATCCACACATATCATCAGTACAATCCGATGACGATTTAAATTTTTTTTTACAGCAACAGTCTGACGCATATCGTACTATAAAATATGCCACAATATGTCAACGCTGGTATTAGTTATATACCATAATAAAAATTTCTTCCAAATATAGGAGTTTTGACAACTTTATCAGTATAACTCCATGTAATGGCTATGGACATATGGAGTTCACATATAGCTTGGAGAGTCCGGTAGACATCACGGTTATTAGCTAGAATGTACCACACAAATGATAACTTAAAGAATAATAAATAATAAATAATAAAATATGAGTAAGTAAATGCAGTAATGGCATGTAACACGTTACGTTGTTGTTTGCGTAAGCAGCTGGCAGGAGTTGCAGCTGCCGCTAGACAATATGAGGTAAGTGAGACGATTAGTAGCACTGCAACAAGATAGCAATGCATTGTCGAGGAGACACGCGTTGTTAGAATGTCTCATTCAGGGTAGCATATTGCCATGCGAAACTGGATTACAGATTTTAGTCTCAGCGAGAGGCTTGAAAGACAAAGAGAATACAGTTACGGAGTGTGATTCCGTTAGAATGCGTAGAGCTTAGCGACTGGATGGTTTGTGGGATGTTGTGAGCCCTGTTTCGTACTGTTGAGTGAGCACTAGGGTGTAATATAAGGAAAGCGTCTGCGAGAAAGAAAAATAGTTCTGACCGCTGCAAGATCAGCCTGTACTGTAGTACCTGCTATCATTTTAAAACGAATATACTCTTTTGCGAACACAAATTATATTGCTTGACTTTGATTCATTTTCAACTTCTAAATATTACATTCTAAACACTCTCGTGTAACTACAACGCGCCTACACTGCCAATAATTCACGGACGAACTTCAAGCAAAATTGAGATCATTTTAAAAACAAAAATCTGGCCTTTACACAATGATTTAATCTTTTCCACCTGATCAGTGTCTGCAAAAACAAACGACACACATACAATGTATACTGTCATATACATTCATTACAGGTAAGACTCACCTGCTAATCCGTAGCCTCGTTCCCTGCGCATCGTACAGGTAGACAGGAACTTTCCTCGGATGTACTCCAGCACGGCGATAAGCTTCCATCACAGGCAAACAGATGGCCGACACCGCACTGTACATACAATCATGAGTGATTAGAACATGAATTACATATTAAACATACTAGACACTGCCCCATCAGTTGTCACTGCCTAGACACTGCCCGCTGTGATGTTTATATTTACTTCTATAAAAAAAAAACTTTTATTAAAACTGTTTAACAATATATAACTCATTATAAGATTCGATAGGTGGCCGCATTTGTTTTCAGAAGATACACCGCGCCGTGCCCAAAAATTTCCCACTATTTTAAATGGTTTTTGAACTCGACATGTGTAAAATATGAAAATTTGAAAAAATAAATATAGCCCATGCAAAACTGTCATATCTTCTAGAATGTTACAGAACAACACTTTGCCACTTTTCACACACACACACCTGCACGCACATGCACACACGCCACGCACCACGCCCACATCACACACAGACACACATGCATGGTGTTTTTGACACACTAACCTGTCGGTGTTGATGTTGGTGTCGATGAAAGACTCCTTGGAAGTTTTATTCCTCTCCAGAGCGTTATTTCGAGACCTCCATCATTGTAAAAGCTCTTCATTCTGTAGAAGAGATGTGGTATACATTAACATAGAGAAGAGGTGGGAGAAGAAGAAAAGAGAGAGACAGAGGACGGGGGCGGAGATAGGGTGGGAGAGAAAAGCTACGAAAGAGAAGAGAGCAAATGAAGCAAGTGGATAATCGAAGAGAGTGAGAGGGAGTGTAGGTCGAGCGGGTCCAGAGAGATGAGAGATAACCAGATTCCCAAAGAACCAAGCGCTGATCTGTACCAATAATCCTGCTGTACTTAACCATTATTGCTATAGTTTGAGAGGCTCGATGCAGACCCCGCAATAGATTATCTATCTGCTGCATGCCCTGCTCCTGCTGCCCTCTCCTGCTGCTGCCTTCCTGCCTCCCCTCTGTTGCCCGTTTTACTTTACATTTATTGCTGAGTATTTGCAGGAGGCTTGGTATGAGACCGACCTGCAATCTATTACATACTTGCCTTTGCTGCTTGCTGCCCTACTGTACTGAAAGCTTTGTTACTTACATTATGCTGAGTATATTGAGAGGCCTTGATTAACCGCTGCAATAGTTACATACTGCTGCTCTCTGCGCTCTCTGCTTGCTGTCTGCCGTTGTTACTTACATTATTGCTGAGTAGTTTGAGGAGGGCTTGGATGAGACCGCTGCAATAGTTACATACTGCTGTGTCTGCTCTGCTACTCTGATGTGTTGTTACTTACATTATGCTGAGTAGATTTGCAGGACTTGCATGACACCGCCTGCATAGTTACATACTGCTTTTCTGCTGCTGCTACTGCTATGCTGTTGTTACTTACCCATTATGCCTGGAGTATGTTTTGAGCGAGGGCTTGGATGATACCCTGCAATAGTTACATTACTAGCCCTGCTCTCTGTGCTACCCCCTGTCCGTTTTACTTACATTATTCTGTTATTTAGGAGCTTGGATGATACCCTCCCAATAGTTACAACGCTGGCTGCTGCGTTTTTTCTTATCTATCTCTTATCTTAACATTATTTCTGAGTAGTTTGAGACTGCGATGAACGCTGCTCTGTAGTTCGTAGGCGGACATGCACTTGTCGTGTCTCAGCAGAGCGACAAAGTCTTCGCATCCGTCATCATACTCTCGCTCCCACTCGCCCTCACTCCCAGCTGTGAGCAGGAGAAAACAGGCAGAGAAGATGAAGTCAGTGTTAGTGATGCCTAATACTATCTGCTCTGATACTCTCTGCTTACACTGCCTGCTATAATCCTATTGCTGCTACTCACTGCTACTGCCCTTGCCCTTACTACGCTGCCTGCTACTCCTACTACTGTGCCTACTGATACTACGACTCTGCTGCTGCTGCTTATTATACGCTCTGCTGCCTCATACTCCTACTACTCCGCTCACTACTGCCCTGCCTACTACTGCCACACTACTGCTGTCTCTACTCTATCTACTTAGCTGCCTACTGATACACGGACTCTGCTTGCTGCTGCTGCCTGCTGTGCGCTATCTACTACTGCTTCTCTGCTCCCCACTGCTTTACTGCCGGCATACTCGCTGCTCTACTGCTACTACTGCGCTACTGCTGCTACTCGCTGCGCTTACTACTACTGCCTGCCTCGGCCTGCATCCTGCTGCTACTCTTACTACTGCCTGCTATCTCCTTCTCCCTTCTACTACTGCTGCTACTGCATCTACTGCTGCTACTGCTACTTACTGCTGTGCTAACTGCTACTACTGCTAGTGACTGCTACTCTCTACTACTGCTGCTGCTATCTCCCCTACTACTGCTGCTGCTACTGCACTACTCCCCGGCTACTGCCTACTACTACTGCTGCTGCATGGCTGCCTACTGCTACTACTGCTCACATGCTGCTACTACGCTGCTACTGCTACTACTGCTATGCGCTACTACTGCCGCTGCTCCTACGCCTACCTTACTGCTCTACTGCCTACACTGCTACTGCCTGCGCTACTGCTACCTATGCTGCGCTGCTGCTCCCCTACTACTACTACTACTATACTATTACTACTACTACTGCTACTGACTATTACTACTGCCTGTCTGCTACCGCTCTGCACTACTACACTACTCCTACACACTACTACTACTACTACTGCTTACTACTTACTATCGCTGATTGCTAATAATAATTAAGTAAGACAAATACCAGCCTTATATCATTTAATATATGACAATATCAGATTATGCCCGATATATGTTAATACATCATACTCTCTCTTATATTACCCTCTTATGCTTATCTATCTCTCTTATAAGCACGGCCCATGCGCGCTCTTCCAACCTTATCACCTACCCTCGTTCATTGCCTCTTGCCATAGCAAGTCCAGTTGTCCACTTATCTTCGAAGCTTCGCGACAACGCCCTAGGCTGTCGCTCTGAGCAGCGACAAGTATTGAGTCGCACAGCTCCCGTGCCGAAGGTACCTGCCCGACATGAGAAGCGGCATGATGAGCTCAAACATGCCATAGCATCATCATACATCAGATCTTCTACATCAGATGGGGACACACTAACACAACAAGGAGAGGGACATGACCAGCTCCTATCTTGACATGCACAGCGGTTTCGTGGTCTATTGTCGGGGTATGATACGAAAACTACATAAATACATACACTCTTAGCAATCAGGTAAACTTGACTATGTCACGATTTTCTAATGCAAAAACTGGTAAAAAAAAAATTTGGCCATTTTTTTTCATATTAAAGAGAAAACTAACGAGACTAAACGTATCTCAATTCTTACCCTCATTAAGATTGTGTCCACTAGTTAAAATCCACAAAAACCTGGCGATTGAATGTGTCCTAACATTAAATTGCTTGCTATGCTATGTATGAGTCACCGAGGTATGCTACATCAAACAATTAAGGTAAATTAAAATTAAAAGTATAATGCATCAATTTTAACCATATAAAATGTGAAACAGAATTACTTAGTATTTTGTGAAAAAGTCGAATAAACATATTTATTATTTTACTATTTACGTGACGTAATCACGTTAACTATGAACTTGCTGCTACATAATCTTTAGTAAAATGTCCTCTTAGTCCGACCAATTGACATAATAAACAGGTAAAATATTACGAAAATGGAGTAGCCTGACAAATGACTCTCATAACTCCACGAAACAAAATTCTGTCAACCGTCTACGAAAAAGCACCATTGTAAAACTAACGTTAAGATATTTCATTAAATTAATTAAAAATAATTAAATGATTAAATAATGTAATTTTGTTTCTGACACCAAGCGCCCTCACTATCAGTTATGAGCAATATATGATAGAACATCATTAATTTCTCCCTCGCCTCTTCTCATCTCACCCCCCCCCCCGATCCAGCCCAGCACACGTGCGTGACCTGAGACTCTCACCTTGAGCTGACGGCCTCGACCTTGGAGCGAACCTCTTCCCGCGCTTCCCCGTCCATCCCGGCACAACTCCGGTCCCAGCACGTCTCGCCGGACGAACGAATGCTTAGTTCCGCGGTTCGATTCGAACACGAACCCGGCGAGATCTTCCCTGAGCAACGTAGTCTGCTGCTGCCCATCGCTGCTGCCGCCGCGGCAACGACAAACAAACAAACATTGCCAATCTATCTGTTCAGACTCTCGGCACACGTGCTCGCATACCCCTTAACGACATCTACAATCTGTCTCTCACTTCTCTATCTCTCACTCTCTCACTCTCTCTCTCTCTCTCTCATTCCTCCCTCCCTCCATCCCTCTTCGTTCCTCCCTCCCTCCTCCTTCTCCCTACCTCCCTCCCTACCCCCCTCCTCCCTCCCCGCTCACTGTTGTTGATCTTAGTACTCTCCTCCGTTTCTTGCATCTAAGACAGTTTCCCATAATCCCCCTCCGCTCCCCCTCCTTCCTTTCCGCCCCCCTCCACCCTCCTCCCGCCCTCCCCTCCCTTCCTCCCTCCCTCCGCTTCAGCCTCTTATTGATCTGCTAACTCTCCTGCCGTTCTTGCAGCTAAGGTCCAGTACCCCTCCCTCCTCCCCCCCTTCCTCTCCTCCCTCCCTCCACCACTCCTCCCTCACCCGCCTCCCCTTCCCTCTCCCTCCCCTCGCTACCTGTACTTGATACTAGTAGCCTCTCCTGGTTCTTTGCAGTCAGTTCCCAGTTACCACGCGGATGGCGTGAGGCGCGACGCGGACAGGAGCTGTCTCGTCGCCTCCAGCCTTTGAACTGTCCTCGTGTCGCCTGAATTTCTCCAAAAAACTCTCCACATATCTCTAAAGACGGAGACGTGAGGAGGAGTCAGCTGCCGGCCCCTCTTGGTCGAAGGTTCAGGAGGGAGGGAAGGGTGGTTTCTTTGATTGCGGTCGCGTGTGTCGGTGCCTGTGCAGTCGCGTAAACGAGATGATTTGTTACGGTCTCCTTATCTTCCCTCCTTCTCTCCCTTCTTGCTGCTCCTCCTACCTCTTATCGCTGCCCTTTCATTCCTTTCTCCCTCCTCGCCCCTCTCCTTATGTGCGCGAGAGGCGTGTCGTCGGCTCCTGGCGTCTGATCGCCCATAAAACATGTTGATTTGGAGAATAATGTGAAAAAAACAGTTGAAAAACTAATATCCAAACATGCAACTCCCTCGCTCCTCCCTTCCCCTCCTCCCCTCTCACCTCTACGTACCTGAGCTATTATGAACCTCCCTCGAGGCTTCCCGCCCTCTTAGAACATGCTGTTTTGCCCTCCTCCCTCCCTCCCCTCCCACTCCCTCCCTCCGCCCTCCCTCACTCCTCCTCTCTCCTCTACGTACCTGAGCTATCTAACCTCCCCAGGGCATGCCGCTAGAGAATCATGTTGCCCCCCCTCCCTCCTCCTCCCACCCCTCCCTCCTCCCTCCTAACCCTCCTCCTTCCCTCTCCCTCTCCCTCTACGTACCTTTAGCTATCACACCCTCCCTCGGGGGCTGCCCGCTAGAGAACATGGCCCTCCATCCCTCCCTCCCCCTCCTCCCCCACCTCCTCCCTCCCCTCCTCCTCTCTTCCCTCCCCTCTTAGTACCTGAGCCTATCAGACCCTCCCCCGGGCTCCCCGTTAGAGACACCATGGTTGCCTCCTCCCTCCCTCCGCCCTCCCCCCTCCCTCCTCCCTCCCTCTCCTCTCCTCTACGTAACCTGAGTAATCAGACCCTCCCTCGGCGCTTGCCGCTAGAACCATGTGCCCTCCTCCTCCCTCCTCCCTCCTCCCCCTCTTCCCTCTACGTTACCTAGCCATCAGACCCTCCTCGGGCCTGCCCTAGAGTACATGGTCTTCCCTCCTATCTCCCTCCCTCCCCTCCCTTCTACTCCTCCCTCCCCCTCTCCCTTCACCTCACCTTTAAGCATGAACCTCCACTCAGGCTGCCCTAGAGTAATTCATTGCCCTCCTCCTTCCTCCTCCTCCCTCCCTTCCCCCTCTCCCTCTACCTACCTGAAGCCCTATCAGACCCTCCCTCGGCTGCGCTTAAGAGTACATATCGCCAGCTTGCCATCGAGTATGAATCTGAAACCATTCCGTTGCTGCCGTTCTGATCCACGCGACGTCCGTGCCTCCTAGATGTAAGGAGCAGTCTATCGTCCCGCGGCCACGCACCAGTCCCGCAGTGTAAGCTTCCCCGGGGGAGGAGGTCCCCGCGCATCTTCTGCCGCCGCCTCTCCCTCCTAGCTGCAGCCGGAGAACAGATGGAAGCTCTTACACACAGAGGAAGGTTTGAGCATGTAGGAGAAAGATGGAGAAGAGAAGAAGGGTTGAAGAATTGAATGAAGGGTTGAGGATTAGAAAGAAGGTTGAGGAGGAGAAATGAAGTGCTGAAGAGAGAAAAGAGAAGAAAGACTAGAGGAAGAAGTAGAGAGAAAGAAGGTGATAAAAAGAAGGTTGAGAGAGAAAGGGAAAGATTGCCACAAGAGAAGGATTGAGAGAAGGGAGAAGTTGAGGAGGAGAAGGTTGATGAGGATAAAATGATTAACATCAGCGGGGTGAATATGAGGAAATATATATATACATATATATATTTATATTATTATGGAGGAAGAAGTAGAAAACAGGAGGAATATATAATCAAAATATTACGCTTGAGACAGAGAGAGGCTATGATGCGAGTAAAACGTGAGAAATCACTTTAGAAGAAGCACGCATTGGCAATCCATGACCAAAAATATATTTCTAGTATTCAAAACATAATAACTATATTCTAATCTGGAAAATCCATCATATTCAATAACCCATTTCCTCCCACCCCCTCAAATATTCTTTTTCTTCCATTGTTACCTGTACTCACCCTTGTCCCATCTACCTGCCACCCACCCTATACATCCTCTATTCTCAGAAAGTTGGATCTACATCAACCGTCAAATGATTAAAAATTAAAAAAAAATTCCACTTTTTCACAAAATATTAAGTAATCTCTGTTGCACTGTTATGTTAAATTTTCTGCCATTATACTTCCATTTACTATGGTTCAGATTAACATACACTCTTGACTCATACAAGCCCATAGCAAGCAATAATGTCAGAACATAATATCAAATAATCGTCCAGGCTTTTGCTATTTTAACATAGTGAAAACAATCCCCTATCACGCGTAAGATTACGATACGTTGTACCCGAGTCAGTTCTCTACTTTAATGGGTAAAAAAATGCACACAAATTTTTTACAAAGTTTCTACCATAGAAAATTCGTGACGTAGTCAATTGTCACTCTCTCCACAGCCCAGTGCTACCATAACCCCCATACCTCCTCCTCCTCCTCCTCAGTATCTCCATACCTACGGCTCTCCTCTAGCTCTCGCCTTCTCCCCTCCACCTTGGTTCTCTCCACGCCATAGCTCCTGACCCTGTTATCTTCCCTTCTCATACCTTCTCTCCTCCTTTCTGGCTCCGTCGTCTTCATCGCACGCACATACGCACGCACGCACGCTCGCACTTACGCACGCACGCACTCACTCACGCACACACGCACGCACACCTCCTCCTTTTCCTCCTCCCCTCCTGCTCCCCGTACCTTCTCCTCTCCTCTGGCTCCCTCCTCTTCCTCCTCCTCCTCCTCGGGCGGCCCTGCTAGGTTGAGAACCTTCCCGAACACGCCAAGACGAGCGAACTGATCGATGAACACGTCCTCCGCCTTCCGCATGAGATGCTGCACGATCTGCAGCGCCGTCTGGTGGCCGTCGTCGTCCTCCTAACGAGTAGGTAAATAATTAGGTTAATGAATGAAGGTAATGTAGGTGAGGTTGACTAGCAATGACCTTCTGCATGAGTTTATTAATTAATTAACAAAATTGATAATTAAATCAATGCACGCACACACGCACGCACACACGCACACGCACACGCACACGCACATGCACAAGC